AACGTAGCTTCCGCATTCAGGGTCACTGGAACATATCCATATGATGTCACCCTGTTTACAGAAGCAGACTTCGCACCATCCTCAGTTACGGATATGTGTTGTCCATCTGAAGCTGTCACTCAAACTCCATCTACTTCAAATTCTGTAGCTACAGTAGAAATTCACGATAGGCAAAGTCGTCGAGCTTTAGCTATTACGTCTATTGCACAAGAATCAAGTGCTTCTACGTCTGCCGATTTGGCAGAAACTCAAGAGACTTTGACTATTGCTGAAGCGCATCGTCAACCAAGTGCATCACTAGCTGAACAACACGTCATTGTAACTATTGAAGTGCATAATCAACAAAGTTCAACACTACCTAGCCAACGGAACAAGGAAGCTGCAACTGAAATTAACAAAGCTAATGGACAATACACGCACTTTCAGATCCAATGGATATAATAGAAGAATTTCAGGAGCAACAAATTATTTCGTACTCTGTTCTTCGAAACATTTCAAATGATAACCAGTCTCATATTTCCTTAATCGATATAATCCCATTACCAAAGGCGATACACATTCAGACACGACGCAAAAATCCTAGCAAGTCGGAAATAATCACCGATAGTCGTTTTAAAACTAAGTTGGAGGAGAAACAAAAACAAATTGATCAAAAATCTAATAAGATTGGAATACCAAAGATGGACATGAAAAGCAAAAGCAATCCAAAGAAGAAATATAATATTAAGAAAGATAAGGCTACAGATAAATCTTCGAAACAAGAATACTATTGTCCGGTTATGTCGAGAAAAGTACGGAGATACGGCTGAAGTGTGGATTGAGTGTACAATTTGTAAATCTTGATGGCACGAAGCCTGTACCAGTTACGAGAGTAGCATTATTTACTTGTGATCTATGTGCAATGGGTTAAGTTTCTGTTGTGCGTACACATTGACGTTGTTGCGTACACTTAACCGAAGGCATGCGGACACTTTCCCACTAATGAGGGTAAGTGTCCGCATTTCCCTTGTTGATTAAAAGTTTTAATCAAAATAACAATTATTATTAGAATTAAAAATGTACGTTTTGTTTTTGTTACATTAGATTAAACGTTGATTTTTTTTTCAATTAACTAAAACTTTTATTCTGGAAGCAATTTACTAGAAATTGCGTGAAGTTACCCCACATGACTCTACTATGATATTACAGCCTAAGCTCCAGCGACACTCGACCTTACGCCATCGAAAATTTTGTTAAGAATGGTATAGGAGTGTAGCTGGTAAAGGGAGGAATACAGGAAACCAATTGCGGGCGAGTATATCGTTTTGCAAAGTTCCACAATTACTTATTGAAAATTGCTCCCAGAGGTATCCAAATCTGGTTCGATCCAAAGCAAGGGCTAAAGCCAATTAGCCAATTTTTCAGATCGATAGGTCGTCCCTGGTAACACCTAACCTCAAAAACGCGTTTTATCGAAAATATTTTTTACGAGAGCGCATGTTAAAAAATGTTCAGAAAATTACCAATGTTAACATTGTTCTTTCCTAAATAAGCGTGATTTTTCAAAGATTTGTGGAACTTATAGATTCGAGCTAACATTTTTAATGACTTTTTTCAATTTTTCTTTGGGTTAGCATTCTAAAAACTTGAAAACCCTCTGTGTATATCTTTTCAGATCCTCTAACAAAATCATGATTTTCTTCTGGACATTTTAAACCAAGAATATCATAAGTTGGCTAACTTAAAAACCTAACGTACACAGGGTGTTTCAAATTTTATCCTTACCATTGGGATCTCGGAAACTGTAAGAGATACTAAGTCGCTTAAATGGGGAAACAGTTGACAGGAAATTAAGAAGATACCGCTTAGAAGGCTTAGACATTCAAAGAAGTTCCGGAGAGTTCCCTGACTCTGTTTGTAGTGGGATTTTAGAATAACTTGCACATCAACACTTTTACTCCTCTTAAAGATAGCATAATTAGAACTTCAATAAAATAAAAAGAATAAGAAGATCATAGCAGATATTCAAAGTGTCCGTTATGTTGTAGGCAAAGCCTGACACTCTTTTCTGTATATTGCTGACTGCTTGATTTATTTCTGTTCTTCCCAGTCTTCCAAACTTTGATGATGTGTTCAATTTGACGTTTGGTCTGGTATACGAATATGATAATTTCAGGGCCTACGTAAGAAATTCTGTTTTATGAAATAAGTAAGGTTTGAAAATGTCAATGTATGTCATATTTTAATTTTTGGAATCCAAATCAAAAACTCAATTCATCTGCGCAAAAATCCAATATTGCATTTGTAAGAAAAAAATTAGTTGATGCTGGAGGACAAGAGACGAAACGTCATATTGGAATTCTAATTATGCCATCTTGTAGAGGAGAAAAAGTGGCAATTTTGATGTGCAATTTATTTTAATATCTCACTACAATTAAAGTCAGTCAAAAACTAAAACGATTTTGGGAAAACTGTTTTTTCGTCTCTTTCCGGAAGTGCCTTGAATTTCGAAACTTTCTAAGCAACATTTTGTAATTCGTATTTCTTACAGTTTCCGAGATCCCAATGGCAAGAGTCACAGAAAGCTCTATCTCTATATATATATATATATATATGTATATCTTTTGTTGGGTACTTCGGCAAAATTCAAGAGGACTCTTTATACTCTATAAATCTCTAGCTTTCAATGGACTTTGCCATCTTTATCAGGAGCTGCAATAACATTGAGAAGAAATAGCAACTATTGTGCAAAATGATTTTAAATTAACTTACAGTAGTATGTGAGGTTGTTGCTAAATTTTATTAACGTTTTGGTTGAGGGATACACCCAGTAACCTGGTGAATGCTGGATACATGGTACCTTTGTCAAAATTAATATAAACTACACTGATTAATATGTCAGGAACAAATTAAAACGGATTAAAAATATTTAAAAACGAAAGTTAAAATTACATCATGAACCACCTGATGCAGCACAAAATATTGGGCACAGGATCACAAGTAGGATGATAGGATGAAACATTTGACAGGTGTCATAAGGTTTGTAGTGTCAGTGTCGATGGATAGAACGAAATGTTTATGTAAAGTGTGTGCTATGTTGCCAAATCACTTCAGATGGTGTTATTAGATAGATAGATATGTTAAATAAGAACTTGTCAACAGACCAGAGGCAGTTGAACAAACTATATTGTTGATGAGATGGAAAGTTGAATTAACAATTATTAATTTATTATGAGAAAAAACAATTATTAAAATTTGAATGGAATGGAAATTTTGGAGGGAAAGGGTGGAATAGACCACAAACAGGTTCTATTTATGGTTGTGAAAAGTCGAAATTTTGAGAGATATGTACGTGTTCCAACTTTTCGCAGTTTAACAAATATGAGTAAATGACGCTCAGTTGATTAACATCTGTCTTCTCATTCATACAGTTGTCATTCATGAAAATGTGGAACATTTTCAGGAATAAACGTTTGGATAGGTGTTTTTCTTTATCAAGAACTTTGATACTTGTGTAGTTCATAGAGTGCCCTGTAGTACTGAAATGACATGAAAGAGCACATCTCTCGGGGTGAAGCCTAGAATCACTTTTGTGTGATGAAATCCGTCCTTTTAGCGATCTAGAGGTCTGACCTATGTATATTTGGTTGCAATTATTGCAATTGATAGAGCTGAACAAGATCTTGTTAATCAAACCCTTAGGATAACCATTGTTGATGAACAGTTTTGATAGCTTCCGTAAATTTGAAGTATGGAAAGTATTATCACAGATGCTGATTACCCTTGTTTCCATCTGCTTCAAGTTGATTTTAATCCTTAGTTTATGGTATGATCTAAAATTGAGGAAACGGCCTGAGGCCATGGGATTCTGGTACCAGTCTACCAATAAACTATTATTGTTGGTGCGGATGAGTCTTGTGTCTAGAAGCATTCACCAGGTTACTGGGTGTATCCCTTAACCAAAACGTTAGTAACATTTAGCAACAACCACATATACTACTGTAAGTTAATTTAAAATCATTTTGCACAATAGTTGCTATTTCTACTTAATGTTATTGCAGCTCCTGATAAAGATGGCAAAGTCCATTGAAAGCTAGAGATTAATAAAGTATAAAGAGTCCTCTTTCCTTGAATTTTGTCGAAGTACCCAACAAAACGCGGAAGCTTTATTTTTTCACCTGACTGGTCTTAACGACAATGACCACGTCTCAAAAACAAAATATATATATATATATATATATATATATATATATGTATATATATATCCATGTCCATTTTTTTATTTGAAAAAGCACATTTTCACCGATTGTTCGAATTTGAGGCATTTTAAAAAAATCATATCATAACTTTGATAACCCAGAAGCTTAATCCACGCATTTTGTGTGTGAAATTAAAAAAAATACAGGTTTTTGAGATCAGGCGCGCCTAGGGGCTCCATCGATTTGAAGACAATTTGATTTGGCCCAATATACTTTAATTTGGATTGATCCAGACTTTAATACCTTTGGGGGCAACTTTCATATAAAATTTCACCTATGGACTTCACCTTTTTTGTAGAACGGAATTCCCAAACACGTTAAACACTGGCAAGGTGATTCCTTTATACAGATAAGCGGATTTTTCAGTAATGAGTAATTATAGGCCAGTGACCATACCATCAACATTTTCCATACTTCATTGCTTCAATAATAATATTTTGACTGAAAACCAACACGCCTTTCTCAGCAGAAAATATACGTCAACCGCAATGCATCGCTTTTATGGAACTCTTGTTAAAATGGTTGAAGAAGGCGAGTGCCCGATTAGGATCTTATGTGATCTTAGCAGACCATTTGACTGTGTTAACCATAAAGTAATGTTGGCCAAACTATCAAAATATGGCGTAAAAAAATCTTTTTGCAAAACTTGTCTATTTTGAATTTAGTAAGTCAAATCCTTTGACCATGATCACTACTCACCGGAGTTAACTAAAAACTTACTTAAATCTTTTAATACCATCATAGTAGTTTCAATATTGTGATGTTTATAAATTGCTAAACGTATATGATGTTGGAATATAAGAAGGATATTTTTTCTTTTAGCTGTGATCCTGTCGATAATCACCGTCGTCGGTAACATAATGGTAATGGTGAGCTTCAAAATTGACAAGCAACTGCAGACGATCAGCAACTACTTCTTGTTCTCGCTGGCCGTAGCAGACTTCGCCATTGGCCTCATCTCGATGCCGCTCTTCACCATTTATACTTTGCTGGGATATTGGCCACTGGGACCAATTGTGTGCGACACGTGGTTGGCCCTTGATTACTTGGCAAGCAATGCGTCTGTGCTCAATCTGCTCATCATTAGCTTTGACAGGTACTTTTCGGTAACTAGGCCGCTGACCTACCGGGCGAAGAGGACTACCACGAGAGCAGCTGTCATGATAGCGTAAGTTGAAATTTGACGTATACGTATACTAGGTTAATTCTGTATATGATAATAATAATAATTTATTCACCTGTGGATCACAAAGTGATATAGGATAAGTCAATTGAATATTTGTACGAACAGAATTGCATACATACATAAATAATATTCAAAACAGCAAATAAAAGATACGAGGTGTATATACATGTAAACGAATTAAAATATCAACAAATTATATTATATATATATATATATATCACACATTAAAAACTATTCTATAGAGTAGTAAGCTTTATCCAGTAAAATGTGCCTGATTCTTTTTTCAAATAATGTCAGCGGTAATGATTTAAGATCAATGGGTAGTTTGTTGAAGAGTTTTATTGCCATTTATTTCGGACTCTCCTCCGTAGTTGACAACCTAAGTGCCGGCACCTCCAACATTTCTCTGTTTCTGGTACTGTAAATTCCAGAATTTATAGAGCTAAAATTGTTCAGGTGTGTTTTGACGAAAATCAATATATTTAATATCTATACTGAAGGCAGCGTTAATATCTTCAAAGCTGTGAATAGTTGCGTGCAATTAAAGCACCTTCCCACCTTCGAAACAGTTCTAATAGCTCTTTTTTGAATTATAAAAAGCCTTTGTAACTTGGAGGAGGCTCGCCACGCTTCAGTTCCATAAGCCAGAGTAGAATGGATTTGTGCATGGTAAAACATTAACAATATTCACTTATCAGCGATAAAACTCAGCTGATACTTACAATAGCAGAGAGGGCTAATCTTTTGACAAACTTTCTTTATATGCGAATCCCATTTGCAGTTTTGCGATATGGGTATTCCTAAAATCTTTTTCCCGTTTGTTCCATGGATTTACCGCTCGATTTTATAAGGGGGCTATGGTCCACGTGCATATTGGAGTAGTTAAATATCATAAACACTGTCTTTTTGTAGTTTAAGACCAGGCCGTTATTAATGAACCGTTGCTCTGGACCAGCTAAGCTTGTGTTGGCATTTCTTACCACTGACTCCAAGTTTTTGCCATTAACAGGCTAGGAGGTATCATCATCATCATATATTACTGAGGATTTAGAGGAAAAGTCATTGACATATATTATGTATAACAGCAAGAAGCGTCATCTATCACCAAAATCGACAACTGCATAGCAGCTATTTGTTTTAGTTGTGAAGATTCTCCGTTCGCATTTAATAGTCCAGTCAGCATTAGACCGCTAGATGGCAGATGATTCTGGCTGGATAGTAGATGTGGTCTACTTACCATTGAACAAACTAAACATGATGTTTTCGCCCATCCTACTAAAAGATAGGCAGCCATGTACAGCTGTTTCGTATTTTTTCGCTACTCGTCAGTATAGTCTAGGCTTGGTCTCTCGTCTCTGGAACAATGAACGAAAGCATCGCAACTATCCTCTATCCAGGAGGCATGGTCAACGCAAAGCGCCACCTATCACCAGACTTGACCACTGCGGAGAGTGCATACTAGCTATTTGCCAAAACTGTACAGATATTATTATTAATAATAATAATAAATGTCGTTTGTTTACCTAACCAGGGCAAAAATTATAGAAATAGCTGATATTATACCTATAGGCACAAATACAAAGTAGAAATGTTTGTTACAAAACTACAGTAAAATACTTAAACATCTAAAAGTCAAAAAATCAAGTATTGGACGCTAAACAATCCAGGCATATCTAGTTATAATATTGTTTTAGTAAGTTGGTTCTGTGTGACGGAACATCCAAAATACGTATATGTCCAACATAGCGCAAATTCAATGTGTGGGATTGGCTCTCAAAGATAGCTTACTATGTAGGTATAGTAGATCAGTGTCTTGTTGATAAGAATGGTTTGGAGAGTTGAAATGAGGTGAACTATCCATCTTTATTGGATGTTCAAGTATTTCATTTCTTTGAGATACTGAAGGATTCTTTCTGTACTAGGTGTTCCAGATATATAACGTACACAGCTGTTTTGAACCTTTGGCAGTAGGAAAGCCTCCTGTTGAGTTAGACAAGGACAATAAACGCTATCAGCATATTCAAGTTTGCTTAGGATTGAATTATTTGTGAGCTTTATTTTTTTACTTTTAGATAAGATGTTTTTAAAACTTAATAGCCTTTAAGTCTGCACAAGAACACTGGACAGACCTGGGGACATGGTCATGGAAGGGGTCAGGTATTCGTCAAATATTATTCAAGGGCACCGCAGTCATAATCAATTTGCTTGCAATAAGTATGTAGGTTAATGTTACTATCTTGTGAATCTTTATTTTTTTACTTGAAATTATTAATAACCGATTCTTTAAAACCGCTACATTTCAACTATTAAAAGATATTATTGAGGTCAGTTGACAGGCTGCGTGATGTATGCTCAACATCAGACGGATTGTATGACAAATACAAGAGTGTCATCTGCATATGTGTGAATCTTGCAGTGTAGGAGCGTTTTATATAAATCAGACATATATAGTCTAAACAACATGGGACCCAGAATAGATCTTTGCCGTACACCCGTGGAAATATCTCGCAAAATAGAAGTTGACACCTTGATCTTAACGAACTCTGACCTTTAGGAAAGATAATCTTAAAACCAAATAATGACAGGAACCGAGAAGTCGAAATAATGGAATTTGTCGATGATTAGATCTTAGTTCGCGTTTAATAGACCAGTCACCATGAGACTTAACAACTAGCTATGCACTCTCCGCAGTGGTCGTTCTAGTGCTAGTTAGGGCTTTGCGCTACCTTATCTCGATATACCGGCCCTCCTGGATAGATGATGCTTGCGATGCTTTCGTTCGTTGACCCAGAGACGAGACAGCCAGCCTAGACGATGCTGATGGGTAGCCAAAAAAGCTGTCGATGATTGGCTGCTTTTAAGCCGGACGGACGAAAGCATCATTCTTAGGTTAATTCTGGATATGAGGGAATAGAATAGCTAGATTCAGAATTTGAGACCATTTCTCAGAGGGCATTCTATTTTAATGAGCTCAAAAATCAATCCCTAGAGATTTCCTTATTATCATTATTTACCCACAGGTGAATAATAGCGATTATATGGTTACGTGTAAGAGTAGCAGCATGCTAAACTTCGCCATGTAAGTCTGACATTTGCAATTGTGGATAAATAAAGACGTCTATTATTACTATTATTATTTCTCAGATTAGTAGTGAAAAAATCAATTATCAGCCCATCTGAAACAATCGACAATATTCTTCTTCCCTTTGTATCTCGAAATGAGAATTTACCGAAATACGTATAGATGGGGTCAAAGGTGAAGAAATTTACCACAGGTCACGCTTAAAGCTGCCCAGAGTGACGGATAAACATAGAATTTTCATCGTTTTCATCGTTTCGTGCTTTATTTTTTTAATTGCTAATACTTGGATGTAAACTGTATTCCGATTAAATTACTAAACGTTTTTATCCCCTATCATTTTAATTCTATTCGCTACCGGCCGAAGCAAAGTAATTTGTGAAATGCATGAAGTACTAAAGATCAACAAGGCTATATATAATGCATATTTACATGTGGTCACTATGTAATCCCATCGTAATTCAGTCTGAATTGTCAATAATAAATAGAAAAATTTACACAAAAATTATCCATGCCATAATTTAATAGCTTAATAGCATATTTGAGCATGGTCGCACGCGTTTGTTGATGACGTAATCAATTCACCTGTCTATAGCCTCACATATTTGCGAAAAGGTAAGTTGTTTCAGTACCCCACACATTAATATCTCTACCTATAAATGCATCAATATTTATACTTATACATGTATGTACCCTCTTCACATAAATACTGTTGTCTTCATCGAATTTTGTGAACTTATTTACACATTACACACAAAATGATCAAATGCGGCTCGGAGGCGCTTTAGCTACACAGAAATTCTTAGCGTTGTTAGCAATATGTGCAATCATTCAAGGCATGTCTATTTTCAGAAGTTTCGAACAACTCCGTGGCCTGAAATAACCAGAAAGTGGAATAACGTCATATAACAATTTTTTGCATGCTTTGAGTCTTGACCCCATGAAATGTTATACAATGTAAAAAAATAATCAGCAACTCGGAAAAAAATTAAAATATTATGTTTGTTAATGTTCTCAAATTATCCCTTTTTACTTATTCCTGCACCACCATTGGTGGAAGCATTTAAGGTGTTCTGTTACAGCGGTGAAAATTGTATTATAATCCGAGCAGTAGTTTCCGAACAACAGAAACAGATCTTTTTCGCTGAAGTTATTTTGAAGACCCTTATTCTGAGTCAAAATAGTTATCCACATATAGAACCTTTTTGATTCATAATAAAATCAATTGAAACAGTACGACACTGTACTACTATTCACTGCCTATCACTGCTTCAGGCTAAAGCGAGCGCGGCGACAGCTTGGTTTATACTGGTGCGGTCTGTGTTGGAACATGTGCTCCCTTGAGTGAGCGTAAAATTCAGTTGTCTGATAAATATTAGCCAGAGTAATTCTACTGGTCCACAGATAAAAGTTAAGTTGCTGCCTCCGAAAATATTGTTTTTAAAAAGACGGACCTTTGGAGGAACTTTGTCACGGAGCATTTAGTCAAAATCACGAAAGATGACTGTTACGTCATACCATAAATTGTACTGAAGTAATCAATGGACGTAAGTCTCGGATAAAATCACGAGTCGGAAACATAATGACAACAAATTTATACTATGATTTTGCGAAGTTAGGTTATTTCACTGATTATTTTTATTTTCATTTTATTTCATGGTTTTGAGTGATACCTTAATAATAATTTTACTGGGAAGTTTTTGTTTTGAAAAAAACAGTTATGAGTAGAATACCTTAAGACAGGAACACCAAAGAGCAAAGTATTACTCAAAAACAACATAACCTGCTTTAACATAACCTAACTATTCATCTTTCAAATATGATCGATCATGCAACATGAAAACATCGTCTATCTTTGTCGGATACATGCAAATTAGCAATACAGTTTGTTTAGACAATACAATTCT